TGTTCATGTTCTCCCGGAGGAGGTCTCCGCTGGAGAGGTGATGGAGGGCGAAGTGGTGGGCGATGCGGGAGGAGAGGGTGCCCTTCCCGGACCCCGGCGGGCCCAGGATCAGCGCCCGGAGCACCAAAGCCCCCGCAGAACCCATCGTGGAGGACGTGGAGGACCGCCCCCGGAGGACAGGCACGACAGGACGGAGGGAGGGAGGCCCGGCCCTCGACGCCGCCCCCAAGGCCTCAGGCGGAAGGACCGGCACACACCGCCTCCGCCTCCGCCTCCGCCTCCGCCTCCGCCAGCCCCAAGGGTCTCCTGCCATGGAAGACTCCTGCCCCAGGAAGGATCCTCCGGTCAGGGACTGAAACAAATGGCAGGACTTGCCCATAGGGAAACCATACCTGCCCATAGGGAATCATTGGGGAATACTTGGCCATAGGGAAACATTGGAGAATATTTGGCCATAGGGAAACATTGGAAAATACTTGGCCATAGGGAATCATTGGAGAATACTTGACCATAGGGAATCATTGGAGAATATTTGGCCCTAGGGAATCATTGGAGAATATTTGGCCATAGGGAATCATTGGGGAATACTTGGCCATAGGGAATCATTGGAGAATACTTGGCCATAGGGAATCATTGGGGAATATTTCCCCATAGGGAATCATTGGAAAATACTTGGCCATAGGGAAACATTGGAGAATACTTGATCATAGGGAATCATTGGAGAATATTTGGCCATAGAGAATCATTGGGGAATACTTGGCCATAGGGAATCATTAGGGAATATTTCCCCATAGAGAATCATTGGAAAATACTTGACCATAGGGAATCATTAGGGAATATTTCCCCATAGAGAATCATTGGAAAATACTTGACCATAGGGAATCATTGGGGAATACTTGGCCATAGGGAATCATTGGGGAATATTTGGCCATAGGGAATCATTGGGGAATACTTGACCATAGGGAATCATTGGAGAATACTTGGCCATAGGGAATCATTGGAGAATACTTGGCCATAGGGAATCATTGGAGAATACTTGCCCATAGGGAGACATAGGAAACAATGTTTCCCTATGGGCAAGTATTCTATCTTTCCCTATGGGCAAGTTTTCTCCAATGATTCTCTATGGGCAAGTAATGTCCTTTGTTTTAGTACGTCCCCACAAAATGCTACTCCTGGGTTAGTCCCCACATCTGATAGTCCTGATGGGGAATCTGTACTCAGGACAAGAGGCTACTATCAGGACAGAATATGGAGAAACAGAATGGTTCCCAATTGGCAAAGGGGTCAGACAAGGCAGCATCCTGTCACCCTACCTATTCAACTAATATGCAGAACATATTATAAGGAAAGCAGGCTTAGACACAAAAGAAGGAGGAGTGAAAATAGAAGGAAGAAATATCAACAATCTAAGATAGGCAGATGATACCACAAAGTAGCAGAAAACCTCACAGACCTGGAACACCTACTAAGGAAGAGAAAAGAAGAAAGTGCAAAGGCAGGCTTACTGTTGAGCATAAAGAAAACAAAAATAATGACCACAGAGATAATGACACACATTCAAACTAGACAACAAGGAAATAGAAATAGTAAAAAAGTTCTTATATCTGGGATCAAACATTGATAGAAATGGGGACTGCAGTCAGGAAATCAGGAGGAGATTAAGAATGGGGAGCGTGGCTATGAAAGAAATAGAAAAGTTCCTAAAATGCAAAGAGATATAACTCAGCACAAACCTCCCAGACCTGGAACACCTACTAAGGAAGATCAAAGAAGAAAGTGCAAAGGCAGGCTTAATGTTGAACATAAAGAAAACAAAAATAATGACCATCAAGGACTTTATAAGTTTAACCTAGACAATGAAGAAATAGAAATAGTAAAAGAGTTTTCATATCTGAGATCAAACATTGATCGGAATGGGGACTGCACTCAGGAAATCAGAAGAAGACTAAGAACGGGGAGGGCGGCTATGAAAGAACTAAAAAAGATCCTAAAATGCAAAGAGATACAACTCAGCACAAACAGTCAGAATCATACGAGTCATCATGTTCCCTATTGCCTTGTATGGATGTGAGAGCTGAAAAGACCAAAATCATACAAAATGTATGGAGATCGAAATCCGTAGATGCTGAAGTCCCATTATATTCAATGGCATAGGAAAATGGTGTCCCTTATATAAAATGGCAAAATCAAGCTTTGCTGTTTATACATTTAGAAAATATTTTCAAACTGCAGAGAGTTGAGTGGCAGTTGAGTGTGAAGGAAATAGAAAAGATTCTAAAATGCAAAGATATACAATTGAGTACAAAAGTTAGAACCACACAATCAATGCATTTGAGATAATGTTATGCTGGAGAAGAGTGCTGAGGATCCCATGGACAACCAAAAGGAAAAACAAGTACCGAATTTTCCGGCGTATAAGACGACCCGCGTATAAGACGACCCCCCATTTTCCCAGTCAAAATATAGAGTTTTAGCACCTCCATCCTCCTTATCCTTATACCCGGCGTATAAGACGACGCCCCCACTTTAACCACAGATTTTGCAGGTTAAAAAGTAGTCTTATATGCAGGAAAATAAGGTATGTCTTTGCACAGATCAAGCCGGAAACCTCCCTGGAAGCCAAGATGACCAAACTGAGGCTGTCGTACTTCGGACACATCATGAGAAGAGAGGGCTCTTTGGAAAAAACAATAATGCTGGGAAAAGTGGAGGGAAGAAGGAAGAGAGGAAGGCCATATGCCAGATGGATGAACTTTATTAAGGACATCATGAGTATGAGTTTGCAGGAGTTGAGCAGAGCAGTGGAGGACAGGGGGTCTTGGAGATGTCTCATCATCAGGGTCGCCATGTACCCAAATCAACTCGAGGGAAGTTAACAACAACAACAATGGTAATACAGTTGTATCATAAACAACTGACATAATTAAAATGATCCCTTTAAATTACAGTATCACATGCACAGAATAAATGTTCAAGGGGATAGCCCTGTTGGCCATATAGCAATCCCAGTAACCACAAAAATCCACCAAACAGCAGTACCTTTATGAGGACAAGCAAAATGCACGAGAGGTGTGTTGCAAAGATTTCAGAGCTTCCCTGGCTTCTGCATCATCAAGTAATACCTTTGGCCTGATAAAAATAGGGAAGCTTTGAAAGCTTGCAACATGCATCAAAAGGTGTTTGGTGGATTTTTGGTTGTAACTAGAACAGAATAAATGTGTTTACATATAAATCTTTTTGGTGATTTAAAGTGAAAATCCTCTAGGCCATCTCCCCTGAAAAGTTCTCTCAGTCTGGAGCAAAAGACAGTGGTCCTCTTTCCCCCCTTCCCATTGACTCCTATTCAATGGCATCCCTAGGGTTAGTGTCACCCGGTGCAGTCACTCATGGTGTCACCCCCC